ATGCAAGGCAATGATGTCTGCTGCACAATGGATTGCCGACAATTGCCACAGTAGGACCAAAGTGCTGATCTTGACTGACAGTCAGTCTCTCTGGAAGGGGCTGCTGGGCAACAGCTCGGACATGAATGATTTGCTCCGCAAGTTCAGTGAAGCCAGAGCCACTATAAAAATTCAGTGGATTCCAAGCCATGTTGGAATAGAGAAGGAAATGAGGCAGCAGACCAAGCTGCCAATGAAGCCAGAGAGATCGAAGGAGACAGACGACCAACGACGTACAAAGGAGTCTTTCCAATAATCAAGAGAGAAATCAGAGACCCACCGTGTAGAACTAAGTACCAGCACCTGGAAGATGTGTATTCTGGGTACTCCTATAAGCGGGAATAAAAATCTATCACATGTCGCTGGGACCAGGTTGAGCTAGCGAGACTGCGGTCGGACCATCATTGGAGTTTAAGAAGGTATAAGAACTTTGTAAATGAAGAGCTCAGCCCATTTTGCCGAAGATGCGGCCATGAATAGGAGGATATCAAACATATGTTTGAATGTCCAGGAACAATGGCAATTCGAATGGAGTTATTTGGACGAGTGGAGGTGCCGCTAAGCATATTGACAATGGAGCCGAAAAAGAGCCTCGCTTTCGCTCGAAGATTTCTTCGTGAAGTCCGTCAGGCCCATTAAGGAAACAAAAAAAAATCATCATCATCATCATCATCATCCTCCTCCTCCTCCTCCTCCTCCTCCTCCTCCTCCTCCTCCTCCTCCTCCTCCTCCTCCTCCTCCTCCTCCTCCTCCTCCTCCTCCTCCTCCTCCTCCTCCTCCTCCTCCTCCTCCTCCTCCTCCTCCTCCTCCTCCTCATCATCATCATCAAGTATTGTCTGCTTATTATAGCTGCAAAGCTCTCTGTTGCATCCATCATCTAATAGATTTTCGAAGGGAAAAGGAAATTCAAGCTGCTTAACGCTATATATGAAGTCTGATAAAATGATTAATTTTTAGAATGCGGTTTTTGTTGTTGTATTCTTTAGTGGAATTAAAAAGAAAATAGATATAGGAAAATTCATTGCGTGGTTTATTTATTTATATAATTATATAATTGATGTTTTTATCTGTGTTCCCTGTAGCCCTCTTAATTCGCCCATGATACTTATATCACCCGCTTTAATTGCCCCCCCCCCCCCCCCGTATATCTTCACCATTCTCGTTCATACGTGTAAGGATGACATCACTGTCGAGTGTCACAGTTACAGACTGTAATAATAATCTAATTAACTAACTAACTATCTAACTAACTAATTAACGAACTCATCATCATCATCCTGTGCCAGATCTGCGACAGACATCGGCGATCATGGTTTTCCATTCATTCTTTTGCTCGGATGCTCTCAAAAAAGCTACTTTCCCTGATCTTTCCCTGTTACCCATTTGTTTAGGTTCCGTGTATGTTGTTCTGGGCCTACCCCTGCCTCGCTTGCCCTCAATTTTGCCAGTCAGAGCTAGATGTTCAAGACCCTTATGTCTATTGAGGTGTCCCAAAAACTGCATTCGTCGTTTCCTGATCGGTTTTAACATTGAGCGTCCCACTTGGGCTTCATCAAGCACTACCTCATTTGATTTCTTTTCTTTCCTCGATACTCTTAGCAGTCTCCTAAGAAACCACATTTCTGTTGCTTCTATTTTATTTTCACTGTCTTTAGTGATTGTCCAGCATTCACAGCCAAATAGAGTGGTTGACCCAACATAGCATTGAAGGACTTTCATGTTGGTTTTCATTGAGATGTTTCTATTTTTCAGGATTGGGATCATTTTATTGAAACTAGCCTTAGCCATTGTAGTTCTCCTTTTTATTTCTGTGGAACATTTGGCTCCAGATGTTTTCATATATCCTAGATATTTAAACTGTTGGACTTGTTTGATCTTTTCACCTTTGCTAATGAGATTACAACAAGGCTTTGCTGCTTTTTTGGATATTACTAGGCATTCTGTTTTCTTTACATTCAACAATAATCCTTTACGTTCATTTTCTGTTACAACAGTATAGAAGAAGCAATTGAAGGTCCTTTTCGGAACCTGTTATTAAAACTGTGTCATTTGTATACCTGATGTTATTAATATTTTCTCAATTTACTTTGAGGCCTGGACATTATTCTATGTTTCTAAGGATTTTTGCACTGTGCATGTTGAAGAGGTCTGGTGATATAACACATCCTTGCCTCACTCCTTGCCTGATCTGCTTATAAAATATTCACTGTATTCTCCATTAATTCGTACAGCAGCGTTTTGGTCCGAGTACAAATTTCTGATAATTCTTAGATCTTTTCCGCATATGTCTAACTTTTCCAGTAGTTGAAATAGCTCATCATGTCTAACTTTATCAAACGCCTTTGAATAATCTATGAAGCATAAATACAGATCTTTCTGTGCTTCAATACATCCTTCCATTAACATTGTTAAGGTGAATATAGCATTTCTGGTGCCCTAGTCAGGAACAAAGCCGAATTGCGTTTTAGATATCTCTGGTCTTACACTTTTTCTCCATTTTCCCATTATTACTCGCAGCAATATTTTTGTAAAATGACTCATAAGGCTAATCGTTCTATGCTTATCACACTCAGTGGCACCTGGTGTTTTATGTAAAGCTATAAAAACTTACTTCATCATATCTTCTGGGATCTCACCGCTGTCATAAATAGCTTTTAGGAGATTTGTGGTTATTTCAGTGCCTAGTTCTTCAAGCGCGACAATAATTTCTACTGGAATATTTTCTGGCCCTGTGGCTTTTCCTTGTTTCATTTTCCTAATGGCAGCTTGTACTTCTGCTTTCAGTATTGGTGGCCCATTTATTTCAATCTTTATTACCGGTTTTTCTCCTCTATTGCCTTTGAAAAGTTCTTCTATGTATTCTGACCATCTGTTTAAGACATCCACGTTGTCCATTAAAATATCTCCTCCCTTTGATCTTATGCATTCTGTATTTGAGCATCCTTTTATCCCACTTACTTCTTTGATTTTTGAATGCATGTATTTGCTGTCTTTGTTTTGGTTCTTCTCTATTTGTTGACACTGATCATTTATCCCTTTTTCTTTTTCTCCGTTGCATTTTTTCTTTATTTCCCTGTTTAAGATGGTGTACTTTTCCACATTTAATTTTGCCTTTCTTCTCACTTCCATTAGTTTTAATATGTCCTGGGTCATCCATTTTTTATTAGCTTTTTTTTAGCTTTCGGGGGGATATTTTCTTCCAAAGCTCTCATTATTGAGTCTTTCATTTTCCTCCGTAGTTCTTCCGATTAAGTAATGTTTTCCAAGGCTTGAAATGTATTTCTTACTTCTATGGAGAAACGTTCTTTCAGTTTTTGATTTGTCTTTAAAAGACCTATGTCAAATTTAGGTTGATACTTTGACTTTTTGAGTTTCTTTAGTCTTATCCGCATTTTACTCTTGACTGGTACATGGTCACTATCACAGTCTGCTCCTGGCATTGATTTAGATGATTTTATTGTGTTTCTAAAACGTTTCTAAATAAGTATGAAGTCTATTTGATTTCTACTTCTATCGCCAGGACTCTTCCAAGTGTATCGTCTTCTTGAGTGATTTTCATACCAGGTGTTTGATATCATAAAATTATTTTCTCTGCACCATTCTACCAGTCGTTCCCCGCGTTCATTCTCTTTACCTAGTCCCCATGGCCCAACTATATCTTCTATACGTGTACTTCCTACGTTGGCGTTAAAGTCTCTCATGACTATCTTTACTAACTAACTAACTAAATAAATAAATAAATAGATTAATTAATTAATTCATAAAAATAGATAAATAGATAGAAAAATAAATTTTAAAATAAATAAAAGATAATAATAATAATAATAATAATAATAATAATAATAATAATAATAATAATAATAATAATAAAAATGATAACACTGATCATGAAAGTTATTTAGGTGAGATAATGTTAAAATAATAAGTATAATAATATTATTTTAAAACAAAATGTCACACTAAAACTAAAACATCAGATCTACTTAGACCCCGCATTGCAGCGGATCGTACAGGGTCAGATACATTTTATATGAAAACGTTAAGTCATTCAAGCCATAAATTTTGATGTTAGATCTATATTCCTCAGATTGCCATCATTGTGTTTTAAAGAGGAAATCGGGTGTTAAATCTCAATGTTCGTTTGAGTATTCCATTGAGTTACATGTACATCAAAGGCTAGGAGGAGCCCAATCCTTCCTACCCTAGGATCAGGGGATGTGAAAAAACCCCGACGCTGGTGGGAATTGAACTTCTGGCCTCCGGGCTGACAGGCGAATATCATACTTGTTAAGCTACAGAGCTCCCACCCCCCTCCACCTCCCTACCCCGTCCCCATACACCCCCCCCCCCTTTTACCAGTACAAGGGTACAACAAGGGGAAAAACAAATGACATGTCTGTTTTTGGATAATCTAAAGCTTCACGAGTCGCCTAACATCAGGCTTCGAAAATATACGATTTATTATAAAAGTATAAGAAAAACATGGACTGTCGAACATTTCGTTTTTGTCTTTCACAAAATGCCAAGAAGAGGCGTCCTTGTTTTTCCCTTGTGACCTTCACTTGTTCTCATTATTTTATTTATTTTTAAAATAATGAAGTGAAAGGTGTTTGTGTATGTTTGTTATTTGTCCGGCATCTTATCCGTGTTTTGTTGCGTAATACAGGGTGCCCACTACGGCTGGATCGGGCCGATCGCCCGACTCGGTCGCCTGAAACTGAAAACAAACACGTTTACATTTGAGGCGGCCGCGATCAGCTGATCCTTTCCGTAGTGGGCACTGGGCACCCCGTCTTAGATTTAAACTAGTACGGTACCTAGATAATTTTGTGGCATTTTTGTTGTTTTGTTTGTGTGAATCGATGTTTTTTGCTACCCAGTCATATATATGGCCATCATTGTTTCTTTTTAAAAAAGAAGTAGGCCTACATGCAAATGAATAGACAAATAAACAAATTATA